GTGCGATAACTAGTTGAACAAAAATAAAATAAAATAAAATAAAATAAAAATTTATGCTAGTGACAAATATATCAATATTAAATTTTTATAATGTATGGCAATTACATTAAATTGCCAATATCCTACGGCTTGTGAAAATGATTGCTCGATGTATTTGTACACGTCAAATCCAGATAAGCATCCATGGGTCATTTGTTGTTGTTCTTCCCAAAAGGTTGAATCCCCAACCCCAAGGATTTCACATGCCCCGACTCGACAAAGCATCTAGATATGAGGGTATAAATGTGACACCCCGTAAATCTAAAATCTATTTAAGGATTAATTAGATAATTAATCCTAGCTTAATTGGTAATTTATTCCTAAAATCCTGAAAATTCAATAGTCGGAGGACTAGAAATTGACTAGTCAATCCAAGTCAAAGAGTTGTACTCTATGCTTTATGAATTGTTCCCTTGTCTCCTTACTCTTCCCACTTTAGTAAGGGCAAAGAAGTCTTTTCACCTTATGTTTGTGCCCCAAGCTAACTTAGCATCATCCTACATTTCATTTCCCTAACACCCTAAACACAAAAGCTCCACCTTCTCTCTAGAAAATTTTTAGCTTCTTCTTCAAGCCAAGTTTTGGGCAATTCTAGATTCTTCAAGTTGGTCTCCAAGATTCAAACTTTATTAACCTTGAGCATAAGGGAGGGTAAGATCTTTGGTCCCTTAGTGTTTTTAGTACCTTTTTAGGTGTCTTTTCTAAAAGATAGAATCTTTGTTGTCTTTTGGTGTGTTCTTGAAGTTGAAGTTGAAGGAGAGCCTTAGGGAGAAGCTTTTAAGGGTGTGAAAAGTGAAGGTTTAGGCTACAAGAGGTAACTCATGCTTTACAAAATCTATTTTCTTACCTATATGATGATTTCTTGACTTCTACTTGTGATTTTTGTTATGAAATGTGAGATTTGATGCATTGTCTTGTGGTAATGCATATCTAGAGCTTGTTATCAGGGTTCTTGTATGCCATTGTTTGGCTATTTCTTGGGTTCAAGTCATATTGTTGTATTTTGTGAGATTTTGGGTGTTTTGGACTTGAATTTGGACTTGTTGTTGAAAATCCCCGAAGGGATATTTTGGTGTACAGAGTGGTACCAGCGGGCGGAACGGCGGGCAGAGCTCCACCCGCCGCCCTACCCGCGGGGAACAAGCTTGTGGGTTGGTGTACCCGCGGGCGGAACCACCGGTGGAGGTCCACCCGTGGCCCCACCCGCGGGGTACAATGTTGTTGATTGTTGGGGATTTGTTCCCCGTGATTCTTTTGACTCGGTAATTGATGTTTTGACCCCCGATGTTGTTTTGTTAGGCTATTTGAGCATCTTCTTGATGTTTCGTATGTCTAGAACGGTATGTTAGGAATCCATGTAGGATTTGGTGTCTTGAATTGTGCTAAGTGTTCAACTTTGTGATTCGTTGGACCTTGATGAGTCTTGTATGTTCTAAGGAACTATGTTTGGTTTACCCGTTTGATAAGCATGCTAGTTCGATGTTGAAATGCTAGTGTGTGCGGTTTGTTCTTTCCTTTTGGGAATGGAAACTTGTGTTGACCATCGTTGGAGTCGGATTGTAATCCTTCCTTTTTGAGTATGGTTTCATATCTTTGTTGTGATCCATTGATTGATTCCTGTGAATGAAAATGTGTGTATTGGCTGTACCTTGATTGCACGGTTAATGGTATGGGACATTAATCACCAAGGTACAGATGTGGTCCTCGTGGTGGCCATGAAATGAAATTGGTGGTGTAATCTAGGCTTTAGGCTCACTTGTTGACGGTTGTGTGATTGAAATGAACGGTACCCTCGTGTACTATGTGTTGGTGGAAATGTTGGTGGGGGAACGACGGTTCCCGGAGGCATAAGGTTGGGCTCAGAAGTACAGGGGTTCTCGAAGGTAATGGTTGGAACTGTAATAAGGCCGGGGGTAGCCATAAGGTTGGAACATGTGACATGTAGTGTCACGGTGGCATGTAGTGCCAATGTGTGAATGTCTATCCTTTTCTGATGAGCATGTCGAGTGGTATTCTACTTTGTGATCAGTAGAATACACCTCGAGTTGTACTTGTTTATTGTTGTTGTCTTTGCCTTGATGTTTTCTACTTTGTGATCAGTAGATTACATCTTGAGCTGTGTTGAGTTGTACTGTTATTGTCTTGCTTTGATGTTGTCTTGGGATGTTGATTTCCCTTGTTCTTTTGAGAGTGAAATAGAGTCTTTGCAGTTGACTTCTCTTTATGACTTTGAACTGATATATACTGTATTCCGTTTCGAAAATGATTTTGAATTATACCATCTATATATGCTACTTAACGCGTATTGATGAGTTATCAGCAATATTCGCTGACCGGGCGTCGTCCCCTTTCTTTATGTGCTTTACAGGTCCTGAGTAGATTTGGCGAGCGCGTTAGCTGTTGGTTGTAGTTTAGCTCCCCTGTCTATGTAGATAGTGTTTTGGGCCTGTGTGCCATGGTTATGTTAAACAAGATAGATCGTTGGTTTTAGACTTGCCTGTGCATCCACGTTGAGGTGGATGTGGCATAGCAATTCCTGGTTTTCCCCGTTTTAATCTAAGACTTCCGCTGTTGCTTACGTTTTATGATAACTGTTAGTTGCTTTGCCTTACGTATTTAAGTTTTAAAAATGTCATGAAAATCGGGGGTGTTACAATAAATCATGGTAATTCAGCTGAATATAGAGGTTAGACATTTACTTACTGTGCACAAAAAGGCCCCTCACTTTGAGAGGTTGTTCACACAGAGTCAGAGGTCATTTGTTAACCCCATCAATAGTAACACTTAATAGGTTGTTTAATATTACGATTCAATTGCATTTTTCGTCAATTTAGAAAGCCTTAATGGAGCCTTTAGAAAGAAAACAAATTAATTAAAAGCATTAATATTCACTCCAGTACTCCAAGCTTATTTTGACAATTTTCCTTTGAATTATAAATAAGCTATCATGTCCCGACCAAGAGCACAACTCAACTGGTCAACTAATTCAAAATAAGTTCATAAGCTTTGCTTACAAGTAGGCAAAGTAGCGTGAACATTATACCAACCTTGATTACTTGTAGATTTATTGCAGTTGGAAACTTCAATACGACTACAACATTTTCACACTCTTGTGTTATATAATACTCTGTAGTAACAATGACCTAAACTGTGCAGGATAATAGATGCAAATTTCTCTTGTCATTCAAAAAAATATTATATTCCTTTAATTTCAAAAGATTTAATACCATTTGCGCCTCCTAATTTCATTATTAATTTTATATGAAGAGAATGATAGGGTTGAATAACTTATGAATAATTACTAACACTCTATATTAAGTAAGACGGTAAAGTAATACTGTAAGACCAAGAAAAATAGAATTAAAATCATTTTTCAACACCCCAAAGCAGAATGCAATTGCATAAAGAAATTAAAGCATCAACATGTGTTAAATGTAGCTAGAGCTTTGTGATTCCAAGCAGCTCTCCCCTTGCAGTTTTGGGGTCTTTTACATGTAACTTATTTGATAAATAGAATAACTTCTCAAGGTATCGACTGGCAAACTCCTTTTGAGAGGTTATATGATAAGCCTACTGATTATGCTCATTTGAAGGTGTTTGGTTGTTTATGTTATGCATCCACACAGCCACAGTTAAGACATAAAATGACATCCAGAGGAAGGAAGTGCATTTTCATTGGATATCCTGCTAATAATGTAAAAGGAAATATTTTATATGATGTACAAAATGGTTCAGTTTTCATATCTAGATCGAGATGTACATTTTTATGAACAAGTGATTCCCTTGAAGACAAATGATGCTAAGAATCATGAGCAAGTAAGGCACATGCATGATTTATTTTGTTTAATCCCTCTCTACGAGTGATATCATTTTCAGATGATTATAATCTATTGATGGTCATTCCACTTTAGGTGTTCCATTATCTGCACCTTCATTTACACCTCAAAATTCAGCAACAGAGAGTGGTCTTCTTCACACTCTTTACGGCCACATCACAGCCATCTCCTCTAATTCTGAACCTAAGACATAATTTGGCAGTCAAATTTTAATGTTGGAAAGAGGCAATGTAGGCTGAAATTCAAGCCCTTCAGGACAAGCATTTGTTAACAAAAGCATATATATATATATATATATATATATATATATATATATATATATATATATATATATATATAGAGGAACATTCTTAAATGCCCACAATGCTTGCTTATTACAAATAAAAAACATTTCAACTTCCAACACAACCTTTGCTTACATTTCTAAGCTGCAACCAAATAGAACCATACCATTATAAAAGCTGAAACCTAACACTATGGGTATAAAAAGAAAGGCATTTTCAATTAGTGGATATTATTGTACTTAGCTTTACACGAAAATGATTTAGTTAGTAATAATTGGCCTCTGTTTTGCATGTTAATTATGGCAAACAATCTATGGACTACACAATACTTTGAACTCAATGCTATGAACTTATTTGCAACTCTCCGAGCCCGAGTCGACGAAACTCTCTAGAAACACATTCTCCTTCGGTTCCTCTGCAAGCACAGAAGGTTAGGAACACAAATATGTTTTTTTATTTTTTTAATTTTTTAATTTTTTTTTTATTTTTTATATTTCAAACGCATTTCAATTTGGCAAAATAATACAAACTCATTTTATAAATGAGTGGGTATTTCAACAAAATACCCCAAAGGCTAATATGCTTTTGGATAAAAATCCAAAAGCAAAAATGCATTTGAGAAATATGTTTAAGGTCCAGTCAAAAATTTCCACAATGCTTGTTGATTAACAAAAGCAAATAGAGGAACATTCTTACCCACAATGCTTGCTGATTACAAATACCTCGATCGTGTTGAACAACTTAGAAAACATTTCAACTTCCAACACAACCTTTGCTTACATTTCTAAAGATTGAATCCATATAGATTCACCAAATTTGTGACAACCAATGTTACCAGTACTCCATACCCATAGAATCATTCTCATTGTCCGTGAAAGACAATATGTGCGTTTGAAGATGCACGCGGAAAGCATTCCAACTTCCTTTGGATTTTTCTCACCTCGGGGGCATTCATACCCCAAAACTTCAGAATAAATCTCTCTAGCGCAGGAGATTTTGAGAGCAACATTATTATAAAAAGCATTTGGAGTGCGGATGCACAGTTCGATTCAATCTTGATTGTGTTAAGAATCTTCAGCTCATGACTAACAAAGCAACTATTTGGATCCTCCAAAAGCCTTGAAGCAACTTCTTTGTCATCCTTCAGACCGAACTATAACTCAAGAGAAATGAAAGACAAGCACAACAGTGAGGACATTTGAAAAAGCAAAACAAGAATAATCACACATGATTGCCATATATATACTCAACCTCGCTCTCCAAAATATGCAGTTCACATAGGTTAGGACATTTTGTAAGCAATTGCATAACAACGGCAAGCTGCTTTGGACAACCAAAATTTAATCCATATAGCTTCATCACTTGCAGATTTATTGCACTTGGAAACATAGATGCATCCATACACTTGGAAAATAGCAATAAAGAAACAAAATTAACCACCATAAAAACTCTAAAAAGCCAAAAGATAAAGAATTATATCCATCCTCCATCCATTTGCATAAGTAAAATGAGTTAGGTTCTCACCATCAACGAAGGGCCAGACAACCAAAGAGTCTTAATGAGTTTCAAATGCGGTGCCAACCATCTCGACTCAATGACAACACCATGCATAGAACTAATAACACACAAGATTTCAAGCTTTGGAGGACTGATCTCAAACTTATTGATCCCTACACAATGCTTGAAAGACAGCTTCTCAAGCTTAGGAATACTAATACTAGAGGCAATTCCATTAACGCCGCGCTTAAATTCAACATAAAAAAACTCTAATGAAGTGACATTGGAAAATATATCACAAGCATTTACTGGCAAATCAATAGAGGGACCTTGGACTTTGAGTTGCTTAATTGTCCTGCAAGAGAGTAAACAAAATGGCAGCTGATATTCTGGCTCTAGATCATTATATAACAATAAGTCAAGTTCCTCTACACCATTTCTTGACAGAAAACGACACCACCTATCAAAATCAGACTGTTGCGGCATAGGATTAGCACAAGGAATGTGTAGAGTAAATTTCTTAATCGGCCCAGTACGGAGAAAGATGATATTGTTGATTATGTTCACGCGGGTTCTACCTTCATCATCTTGGCGCTTTCGGACACTTTTGAAGAATTTCCGATCCAACGCAAGTTGCCCATGCTGCAACCAAACATCATTCCAGTGCCTTGAGAGCAGAGCAGTTCTGGCGGCGTCTCGGGTGGGCAAACACTCCAAAACTCTATCCTTTACCTCTATCGGCAGCTCACTTATTAAATCCCTACTTGCATCCAGTAGTGTTTTGAGTCGCCGACGTCGAGCCATTAAATTGAAAGAATAATGAGGCTGCTTCAGTCGAAATCAAAAGCTAAAATCGTTCTATTCTATTCTTTCAACTGCAAGATTTCGTAAATAAAAGGAAATTAGGAAGAAAACAAAGATTGGGGGAAAAGTGACAGATTAGAAACCCTCACCTCTGATGTTTGGGCCTTTGCGGGTTAGGGAAGCCGAAGGGAAACAGAATGCTATTCCTCTTGAGATAACGTACAATAACAAATATAGTAATATATAGATCATTATAAGTCGTATATTTTTATACTCTACTCTAGTTTCAAGTAATTGGATATATATATTTTTTTGAATGTTACTGGCTCTATTACATTGTAGTAATTGGATATATATAATTTAACTGATCAGAATGGATGACTGTGTATATAGATTTGATTGAACGTAAAAATAATAGGTGAGTGAGTTGAGCCAGGAAAGAAATTCAATTCTAATTAATTTTTAAAAATCTTTATTCGGGAGTAGAAATAGAAGGAGCATTTATTATAGTGACATGGGGGAAAATAGGAGGAGCATTCATTGGGCAAATAGGAATAAATTAAAGTTATGAATAAAATTAAATTTTGATTATGATATTTGAAACAAACGTTCCTCTATTATATTAATAGTAAAATGAATTTTTGTACTACTCACTAATTACATTTTTCGTCAATTTAGAATGCCTCAATGGAGCCTTAAAAAAAAGTTTAAACCACAATTGCATGTACTATTCACTCCACTATTATTTTGACAAATTTTCCTTTGAATTATAAATAAGCTATCACGTCGTTGAAGCATAACTAACTCAGAATAAGTTCATTAATTTTGCTTGCAAGTAACACAAAGTAGCCACAACATTATACCAATCTTGATTACTTGTTGATTTATTGCTATTGGGAACCTCAATGTGGCTACTTCAACATTTTCACACTCTTGTGAGAGACAATAATAGTAGCAATATCTTAAAATATGTAGGATAATGGTGGCAAGTTTCTCTTGTCATTCAATTAAAATCATTAATAAGAAGTGATAATGGTATTGAGATTAATATGACTGAGTTTTATGCAGAAAAAGTCATATATTTTACGTAAAAAATCATGTGTCAAACACCCCAGCAGAATGCAATTGCATAAAGAAATTAAAGCATCAACATGTGTTAAATGTAGCTAGAGCTTTGGGATTCCAAGCAGCTCTCCCCCTTGCAGATTTGGGGTCATTGTGTTTTACATGCAACTTAATGTATCAAACACCCATTATCTGCACATTTTTATGAACAAGTGGTTACCTTCAAGACAAATGATGCTAACGTGATATAGCTACTGATGGTCATTCCACTTTAGGTGTTCCATTATCAGCACCTTCACTTGGTCAAGACATCTCGTTGCCTGCAACTCAAAATTCAGCAATAGAGAGTGGTTTGCCAGATGAAACTCAAAATGAATTTCATAATACTCAGCCTAGAAGATCTACAGGACAAAGGTATATTCCTGTTAGATTACAAGATTATTATTGTGATTCTGTGATACATGGTAGGTCTTCTTCACACTCTTTACCGCCACAGAGTATTCATCGCTGCCATCTCCTCTAATTCTGAACCTAAGACATATAATGAGGCACTCAAATTTTAGTGTTGGAAACATGCAATGTAGGCTGAAATTCAAGCCCGGCCTTCAAAACAAGCATTTATTAACAAAAGCAAATATATATAGGAACATTATTCTTAATTGCCCACAATGCTTGCTGATTACAAATATCTCGACCATGGTGAACAACTTAGAAAACATTTTAACTTCCAACACAACATTTGCTTACATTCCTAAGCTGCACCCAAATAGAACCCATGGAGATTCACCATACTAAGTTTCTAAAAGCCTAACACCATGGGTATCCATCCAGTCCTCATTCATACCCGCATAGTAGTTGCCAGCGCATACAATTTGTGCCTTTGGAGATGCACGAGGGAAGCATTGCAACTTCCTTTGGATTTTTCTCACCTCGGAGGCATTTATACTACAAGACTTCACAATAACAACTCTCTCTAACGCAGGGGATTTTAAGAGCAGTGTTTTCATAAAAAGCATTTCCAGTGCGGATTGATCACTGAATGCTTCAATCTTAACTTTGTTAAGCATCTGCAGCTCTTGAATAAATAAGCAACCGTTTCGACCCTTCAAACACCTTGAAGCAGCATCGTTCAGTTCGTTGTCATACTCCAAGAAGAAATGAAAAGCAAACACAACTGTGAGGACATTTGAAAAAGCAAAGCAAGAAGAATCATACATGATTGCCAAATATATACTCTACCTCATCCGCCATAATCTGCAGTTCACATAGGTTGGGGCATTTTTGAAGCAATTGCATAAAAACGAGTGGCTGATCCCAATAACCAAAATGTAATCCATATAGCTTCAGCACTCGCAGATTTATTGAAGTTGGAAACATAGATACACGCATACACTTGAAAAATAGGAATTAAGAAACAAAATTAGCCACCACAAGAACTTTAACAAGCCAGAAGATAAAGAATTGTATCTACCCATCCATTTGCCAAGTAAAATGAGTTATATTCTCACCTCCAACGAAGAGCCACACAACCAAAGAGTCTTAATGGCTTTCAAATGTAGTGCCAACCATCTCGAATCACCAAAATCATATATATCATATATAGAACCAATAACAGACAAGATTTCAAGCTTTGGAGGGTTGATCTCAAACTTATTGATCCCTCCATAATCCTTGAAAGCCAGCTTCTCAAGCTTAGGAGTACTAATACTAGAGGCAATTCCATTAACGCTACGCTTAAATGAAACATTGAAGAAAGCTAATGAAGTGACATTGGAAAATATACCACAACCATTTACAGGCAAATCAATAAAGGGACCTTCGACTATCAGTTTCTTAATTGTCCTGCAAGAGAGTAAACAAAATGGCAGCTGATAATCTGGCTCTAGATAACTATATAAAGATATGTTAAGTTCCTCCACACCATTTCTTGAAAGAAAAAGACACCACTTATCAAAATCGGATTGCTGCGGCGATGCATCATATGCAGTGTTTATCTCTAGAGTAAACTTCCTAATAGGCCCAGCACGGAAAAAGAGGATATTATTGATTATGTTCACGAGGGTTCTACTGTCATCATCTTTAATTTGCGGTGTTCAACACTATGCAAGAAGTCCGAATCGAACGCAAGCCGCCCATGCTGCAACCAAGCATCATTACAGTAGGTTGAGAGCAGAGCCATTCTGGCGGCGTCTCGGGTGGGCAAACACTCCAAAATTCTGTCCTTTACCTCTAAAGGCAGCTCACTTATAAAATCCCAACTTGCATCCGGTAGGGTTTTGAGTCGTCGCCGTCGAGCCATTAAATTGAAAGAACAGTCGAAATCAAAAGCTAAAATTGAAAGGGAATAAGTAGTATAAAGTCAAAAATGTCCATTATCGTTGTTAGACATGAATTTAGGCTAAAAAAAGGAAGGGGTAATTTTGACTCATTACTTTTTTTTTTCCAGGAATTAAAATCCCGGGGGGGGGGGGGGGGGGGAGGGGGGGGGGACATGGGATTTTAATTCCATGAAAATGGGGGAATTGCAATTCCCTCCAACCAAACTACGGAATTTAATGGCCTTTGGAATTAGGTGGGAATTAAGTGGGAAGGGAATTTAAAATCCCTCCAACCAAACACCCTGTAAGGGGTTGTATTCAAGACTTTTATAAACGTGATGGATTTTAAATGATTTTTTGTGAAATCTTTGAAGATTTTAATAAAATCATTCAAGATTTTTATAGAATTTTTTAAAACTTTTATCACTTTGTATGAATCTATAAAAATTAGTACTTTAAAAAAGAAATTAATATTAAAAAGTCTACAAAAATTAAACTCTAAATTAAAAATAGCATTACAAATATTTCATAACTTCGATCTATTAATACATTATTATTATTTATAATTTTCATACATAATGTTATAATACATAATATATTTTTATAAATCATAAATAAATTAATGAGTAAAATACCAGCCAAGGTCCCTCGAGTTTGGTGATTTCACCATCTATTGTCCCTAACTTTCGTAATTACCATTCTCCTCTGAGTGCGAAATCTAACCAGCTATCATCCTTCTGTTTAGTTCTTCCCGTCTAAGCTTGCAAAAACGAGGGTAAATATGTCTTTTGTCATAAAACAGAAACATTCAGAAATTAAAAAAAACAATATCAATGCAGTGATCGACATTCTGGGTAGATCTGTAGTCTTCTTACGGTCGGGTTTGCAGAGTCTTCGTCTCTTCGATGAGGTGCTCGGCGGTGATAGGCTGCTCTGGATTCCAGAGACCAGAAATTCTTCACCTCCGTTCTCACCCTCTCCAGAATTCCCAGGTGAGACTCCAAGAGTGTTATCGCCCACAACAGAAATTTGTCATTTGCCATAAAACAAAATATTCAAAAATTTATAAAAAAAAAATTAAAAGAAGTGATCGACATTCTGGGTAGATTTGTAGTCTTCGATGTCAGGTTTTTGCAGAGTCTTCGATGAGGTGCTCGACGGCGATGGCTGCTCCGATTCTGGCGACCAGAAGTTCTTCACCGCCGTTCTCACGCTCTCAAGAACTCCCGGGTGAGAATCCAAGAGTGTCACCGCCCACAACAGAGGAAGAAATAGAAGCGTACTGCGTGCGAAGAGGAAATCGAATAAATGCCCAAATTATCCGGCCAAGTGTAGAAACAAGAAATCATCAAATCAACCCATAAAATCAGAAATCAAGTCCAAGGGCTCAAGGCAATAAAAAAATTTAATTTTTTGGTCTTCTTCGACACTCAAGGCTTAAGCAATCAGAAATCAAAAATCAAAAATCAAAATTTATACTTTCAGATCTGAAGACAGAAAAATAAGGTCGTAATAGAAGGAGAAGAGGTACCGTTCGTCCGGTGAGCGAGTGAGGCGGCGGAGCAGGCAGCCGGCGACGAACTCGGAGGCGGTGGACAGTGGAGTTCACCGCGCGACGTCGCGAGGAGCTCGGAGGTGGTTCTATTGCGAAGAGATCGACCACTGCGAGAAGATGAGGTTACGCTCGGAGGAGACCACTACGGCCAGCTTCCAAGCAAGGTATCACAGAATCTTGCTGCCATAGTGCCACCGCTCAGACCCTCCAGGTTGGAAATTTCTTTAGGAACCCTTCTCGCCATTTTTACTTGTGGGTGGAAACAAACCTCCTCCAGGTTGCTAATTTCTTTAGTTTCTATTTCACTTGGCTTAATTTCTTGTTAGTTTTCACCATATCTGTGTGAGATATCACAGCTTTCTTGATA